CATGCCAAGAATGTTTTCTGTGAGGGCCGGCCAAATAGCTCAGCAGATTAAAGCACCTGCAAAGAGGCACAGGGGCTGGAGGTTCAATCCCTGGGCCTGCCATGCCGACCCTGTCCCCTAGGGCACACTGAGACTGTAATTGAGACTGGGTGTGGTGGTGCGTGCCTACAATCCCAGATCTTTGGAGGCTGTAAAAAGGCAGATCACTGCAAGTCTGATCTAGTAGTGAGACCCAGAACACCCTGTAGACCCTACCCTAAAATACAAAGAAAAAAAAATTTGGTGAGTGAAGAGTGTGGTGGTGGGATGGAAAATGTTAAGACTGTGAAAAAACAAGATGCTGTACATGGTCACATTGATAAATCCTCAGGGGATTTGACTGACCTTATCAGATAGCAAAAGTTACATCTTTAGTTATATAGGTCTTGCTTTAACTGGGTCCTAACCATCCAGCAAAAAAGTGTAACCACGAGGTATAAAAAATAAAGCCATAAAACTTTGAAAAAAAAAAAATAAAGCCATATAAATGTATAGCCTTGTAAAATGTTCAAGTCAATCACTTCAGACAATTGCCCGTTGTGCTGGTAACTCACTACTATTATGGACTATTGGATGACTGCATTGTGTTATCTTGCTGAATTCAAGTACATACGATATTTGGACTGGCATCAAGAAAAGATCCTTCAAAGACTTCTCCAAATACAGCTTCTTTAACAGCAATGGAACACCCATTTCTAACAAAACAAAGCATAAAAAGGGGGATATAAATAAAGGACCAATTTTGTAGTGAAAAAATATACACATATGTATATAAAAGATAGTTGGGATAGATATACAGCCACTTCCTCTTAGTTCAAAGAAAAAAAGATTTATACTAATATTGTTTAGACAGGATATCCTGTCTACATCTTGTCCTCTGAATAACTACGAGGTAGACAATGATATGCAATGTATTGATTATTGTAACTGTCCTACTAACCTGTTTTGAAACTGTTTCATGGATATTTTATCTTTTTCTCCTTAAGATGAATAAAAAATTTAAAAAGTTAAAACAACATATTTGTTTGGATTCAGAATTCTTGATATGTCTGAAGCCTGTATGAAGTCAGGTCTGACTTCCAGTCTCACAGCCTTTTGTGTCTCCTTTGCCTTGCATATTGGTTACTTGGATTGCCTTCTGCCAACCCAACTTTTCTTTATTGAATACAATAAATCACGCTTCACCTTCGTACACTCTACTTGACCCCAAAATGGAAACATAGATTATTTCATTTTTTCTTGCAGAAGTGCACAAGTAGCATCGGAACGCTTGATGTTCATGGAAGAACTTTATACTTAAAAATCTTAAACAAAAGCACAGCATCTCATATAATAAATCAGAATATTTCATTGTAAATGACTCTTAATAGATCCTGAAGTTTTTGCTACTAACATTGTATATAAAGAAAATTGTCAATGTTATTAATAAACGTATCTCTAATTTTCTATTATTTCTAAAACTCTCATTGTATACTTTTGCATATTTTGCATCATGAAATCTTTAAGCTTGTGTGTCTGATTTGTGTCACTTAAAATTATGGTCATAAGATGCATCCATTTGAGGACAGAAAAAAAATCAACTATGCTGTGCTAGGCACAGGACCGAACTTTCCATGATAAATATAATTTATGAACTGAAAAAATGTACTAATAAAATTTTAAAAATAAAAAAAGATTGTGAAAAAAGTTTGTACATATTATTATAGTAAAAAACTAGATAAATAGTAAAATTTGTCACATTAAAATGAAAATGTGTTAATATATTCTGCATATTATAAACTTATCATGGCATGATCAGATTAATTTTGAATTTTTCTGTATTTCTATCTTAAGTAGAAAGCAGAGACAGTGAAATAGTGAGGGACCTCGATTTGCTGTAGATGTGGTTTACAAGGTAGGCTTGCAATATCTTCCTGAAGTCAAGTAGTTTGGAACAGTAAAAAAAAAAAACGACCTCTTTGCTGTACAGATCAAAAAAATCCAGTTGAAAATCAAAGACCTGTTGCTCACTGCAAAGGTCCATATGTATCCATATCAGAATCTTGAAGGATCAGTGTTGCAAGGCTGAAGAGATTGTGCTAGAGGGCTGATGAGTCTGCACTGGAAGCCTGAGGATTCAAATTCAAAGGCAATGGTGAAGACTGCAGGAATGAGATTATCTTCTACATTCCCTTTCTTGTTTCATTCAGTCTACAAGCCTAGTTGTTCATGCCACATCTACCCAAAGTGGATCTTCTTTCCTCAGTAAATCAATCATCTAAACAGGCCAGAACTGTGCCAAATCAATCTTCTAGACATTTCTTATTCAAACTGACACCAGCATTTAACTTTCACATATTTCAATTTCATTTTCTGTCATTCACTGCTAAAAGTCTTGGAATCTTCAAAGTCTCTTCTGACATGTTATTGGGTGAATTGATGACTGATCAGTGCTTTGTAACTTCAAGAATGTGACTTGGCCACCTGAAAGTCCAAAGTCAAATGTTATAATGTGGGATTTTGAAATCTTCCCCTCAGAATCCTGAAGGACTGAGGATAAAATGATCAATGGCAGATAATGATGTATTCAATGGTGTCTATGCAATGAAGTTTCTGTATGAAATCAAATGGATAAAGTGGGAGAGTGTAGGGAAAGCTGAACACTCAAAGTGTGTTGTACCAGGAAGTACGGAAACTCTGTGACTTGTTCCACATCACTCAACCAGTGCTTAACTTACATGATTTGTAATATCTTTAACAATAAACTGATAAAAATAAGTGCATTCCTGAATTCTATCATTCACTCTAGATAACTAATAGAAAATGAGGTGGAGATGGTAAGAATACCAATTTGTTGGTCAGAAGTATAGATCATAACTTAGAGATAGAAGTAATGAATATGTGAGTTTGCAGGGAGGATGTCTAGAGGACTTATCCAATCACCTGTGGAGTCTGATGCTATCGCCTTGAGTTGAAGTAGAGAGCACTCATCTGGACCTTGGCACAGAATTGATTATGCTTGGTAATGATGAGAAATCCCTATACGTTTTGTTGTCAAAAAGTCTTCTGTACTGACTGCAGCAGAGAAAAGGAATGTTTCCCAACATACTATTGAGAAGGAGTTTTGTAGACTAAGGATAAAAAAAGTTTGAAGATAATGACTGAAGTAATTGATAAAATATAAACTTACTAGAGAAGGAACTAAAGAATTAATTTGTGGTTTGGAGGAAAATACAGCAGTCAATGAATTTGCACTAGAAATAAAATGTGTCCCAAAATCACTAACATTGAAGAGATAAAAGAACTGGAACACTACTAACTCTTAGATGAGTTATTCATGTGACTATGTCTACCAGAGTGATAGCAAAACATGAATCAAAAACAGGAGAAACTCCTCAATAAGCAAAGGACAATGAAATAATATTTGATTATCAAAAAGTGGCAATCTGTTCAATGATAAGAGAAACTAGTACTATTACTATCTTTTCCCCTTTTCTTGTGCTAATATTATTTGGAGAATATTTTATACCTATATATTGTACTCGGAGTACTTTGAATATAACAATAATCAGTATTTTAAAATTTTTTAAAGTCATTTATTTAGGTCCAGGAAGATAGTTTAGTGGCATAATTGCCTGCCTTGCAAGTTCAAGGCCTGGAGTTCAATTGCTAATACTGCAAAAATTAAAAAAAGATAAGATAGGATAAGATAACATAAGATAATGTTGGACCAGAAAGATAGCTCAGCAGACTAAGTACCTGCTTAGCCAATTGCAATGGCTGGGTTCAGAGCCATGGCATCATATGCCACACCAGCCCTGCTCATGGGTGCACTGGACTGGGGGCTACGACAGGGTCTGGCGGTGCATGCCTGTAATCCCAGCTCTAGGGAAGGTGAAAACAGGAGGATCACTATGAGTTCAATATATGCAGTCAGACCCTATACTAAATACATTTAAAATAAAAAGATTTATTTATTTGTTACAGGGTCTAACTACCTAGGTCGGTCTCATAGTGATCCTCCTGTCTCAGTCTTCCCAATACTGGGATTATAGTTGTGTGCTTCCATGCCCAGGGTTCCAATGCTGGCACTGCATGCAGTACTAGGGATCGAACCCAGGTCCTTGTGCTTCTCTGACAGGTACTTAGACCACTGAGCTATCTCCCCATTCCAATAAGCAGTATATTAACTATTATTATTTCCCCATTATTTTGTTTTGACATTTTTATAAAATAAAAAAATGAATTAAACAAAAAAGACCAACTCAAGAGAAATAGTAATAGTCTGGTAATGGCTAAGGAAGTAAAAGCAACACACATTACACACATTTTTTTTCCCTTGGGGTATAAAAGTCATGCATTCCCCTCAAGATAAAAAAAATAGAGGATATTTTAGGAAAGAGATTAAGAAATGAAGGATGCTTAGTAGAAACTTTAGGAAGGAAGAAAGCAACTGAAATTTGAATTTGAGAAGAATAAAAAAATTACAGAGTAAGAATGACTGAAGGGGTTTGCACATATGCTTTAACAAAGGACCATCAAAATGTGAGGTTTAAGGGTTATAGCAAGTTTTAAGTAATTTTACCTAAAATTTTTATGCAACTTTTTTCATTGAGGAAAAACAGGATTTTCTGAATTATGTGTATTATAAATGAAGTTATTATTCACATAAACTAGTTGATCAGGAATAATCATATTTAGAAATCAGAACGTGAAACTTGCATTTTTGTGGAAATCTCAACTCCCTTTTTGAGACAACAGTGGCTTTCCATGAAATACTGCATATATTGATAAAAATGAAACTTTCTCAGCCTAACAGTGATTCTCTTTCCTTAAGATGACTTTGCATATTTAACTTCGAATTTTGAATGTTTGTTAACAAATATTAACTTTATAGAAGACTTTATTTTTAATTTGGAGATGCATCATTTGTCTTTATCTTACTCTCATTGTCAATCTAGGAAATTCTTACTTATTTTTTATAGGGGAAAGTGCAAATGCAATCCCCCACTATCACAAATTATGCCATCGAGTTTCCCACATTTGGGGAAACCACAGGCTCAGGGCATCCTGAGTACAATGCGCGAAGCTGCCCTGGGAAAACCGCCTTCCTGGTCTTGGTATCTCTCCTGCCACGCAAGTATCTAGCACATTTGTAATGGTTTCTTTAGAATGAAACACAACTTCAGCTCTGTAATTAATCACAATTCTAACACTTATGTCAAACAAGCACTATCTCTCTTTTGAAGTCCACATCCTATTCAGTACATTCATGATATAAGTGGATCTCTGAGACAGTGGATCTCTTTTAGAGATGCGAGGGCAACCTGGAACACATCACTCTCCCCACTGCCAAACTATGGGGTTCATGGCATTTTCTGCGGCACAAGAACAAGTTGACTTCCCATATCTTAAAATAAGCAAATGAAGGTTAAAATTAGCAAAAATTATTCCTGAATGAGCTGCTATTCTTACATTTAACAAGTATATAGCATAACAATTAGTTTTTCAAATTTGACCAGATCTTACTTCACAATAAAAGATGCTATTTGTGCTTACAAAAGTGAAAGACAGAAACCAGTGCTTACAGACATGTTTTACACATTCAATAATCTCAAAAAATTTCATGGTTTTTTTTCTAGAAATAAAATGAGACAATTTTAAAGTTCATAGGAAATCAATGTTAGCTAAGCTATTTTTGAAGAATAAAGAAAAGACTTACCCTGTATAATATCAACATTTGTTGTAAAATCACGTCATCAATATATTGTGGAGACTTAATATAGAAATTGAGATCCCTTTCCAACATAAATGGAGTTATGATATACAAGGAAAAATTACTTCAACAAATGATTCTATGTAAATGGAATATATTTAAAAATCTAAACCTTAATATGCAATATGTAAGAAAAATTAAGTCCAGATTTGATTATAGAATTAAATCTTAAACAACAAAATATTTCTAAACATAAATATAGAGGAATACTGATTTTAAGGTAGATAAATTTTTAATATTCAGAAATGTTTTAAGCAGAGAAAAACATATGTATTTGATCATACTAAAGAAATTCTGAATGCTAAAATACCTTTTTTATTGAAATACTCTTGAGGACAGGATGATAACAGTAATCAATAGTATGTTTATTTAAACAAAGCATTGTTATTTACAAGCCTAAGAAGAGAGAAAGGTCAGATTCCAACTTAGATGAGACATTTCAACAAGTATACTAATAAAGGTTTTGTGTGCAGAAATAAATTAACTACGGTTGAAAGAAATGAATATATTTAAATATAAATAAAGTGAGGCTTGTATTAACATAAAAAGAGCACTGATTGAAATACATAGATTTCCAAGTAAGTCCTTCTCAAAGAGGCCTTACATATAATAGAACAATAAGTATATGGAAAAATAATCCTCCCATTAATTGTTAGAGGGCACATTGAAACCAAGATGTGTATTTCTGCATACCTGCCAAAATGATTACAATTGAAATGTGTTTAATATCAAGTGTTTGTAAAAAAATATGAAAAGACGGGAGGCAAAGAGATAGCTCAGTAGAAAAAATGCTTCCCTGGCAAGCTCAAGGGCCTGAGTTCAATCCCCTGTTTCGAAAAAAAAAAAAAAGAAAGAAAAAAGAAATTAGCAGAGTATAAATGAACAAATTTACTTTACAAAGCTAAAGTACAAAACATAAACTTTTGGTCCTGGAATTATACTTCCAAATATAGGTTCAATGACAACAAGTATACATGAGGACTAAAACAGGCATAATATTGCTTTTATTTAGAATAATTATGGTGTATATACAAATAGAAAAATGAACAAGGTATGACAAATGGAGACAAATCTCATAAAAATGACACTGAGTTAGTCTACTACAAAAAAGAAATCAATTGAAAAGAAAAGAAGGAAGGAAAGGAGAGAGACATGTGTGGAAAGGGAGAGAAAGGGGGGAAGGAGAGAGGGAGGGAGGAAATGCATATGATTTCACATATAAAATATTGAAAACACTACAAGTGCACTTCAACAAGTACCTTTTGGGAGAAGAGAGGAAAAATAAAAGAAATGAAGAGAAGAGAAGTAAATGAAATTTGGAGTAGACAGTGATGACTTCTTGATTTCAGTGAGAAGTGCGCTCTTGGTTTACATGATTATTCAGCAGATATTTAGGATTTATAAGCTTCCCTGGGCGTTATATATCAAGAAAATTTTAATTGAAAATAGAATATATGTTCATTTTACAGTAAATTAAGATATATGAAACAATATTGAATATGTCAATATTGAATTTTTGGACAGGTGTATATTATTTAATCCATAGATGATAGATAGATAGATAGATAGATAGATAGATAGATAGATAGATAGATGTCTTTTTAGGCATAGCTTAAATGGTTTACTGATTAGTTTTTCTCAATATTTTTAGTTTCATTCTTTTTCTTTTTTTATGTATTTAGTACAGAGTTTACAGCGTCTTTCTACACAGATTGGACTTGTAGTGATCCTTCCTGTTTTTCAGCCTCCCAAGTGCTGGGAATACAAGCTTGTCAAACCACCCAGTCTCAATAGCAGTCTCAGCATGCCCAGGGGGCGGGACTGGCACAGCATTCTTCTCCTTCTCGACCAAATGTAGAGTCCACTAGTTTCAGCCGAATGAAAAACCTGTTAAGTCTAAAGATTGTCAGTTCTAGCACCAGGAGGATAGCTCAGCAGAATAAGCACCTGCCTGGCAAGCTCAGGGTCCTGAGTTCAATCCCCAGTACCACCAAAAGAAAGGAAGGAAGGAAGGAAGGAAGGAAGGAAGGAAGGAAGGAAGGAAGGAAGGAAGGAAG